AGCCCCTAGCCCAAAGCACAAAATCAGTAAGTCCTTAAATGAATCATCGCTGGGCCTGGATCTTCCTCCATATTCTTCTCCTGAACAGTATTTGAGAAAGAAAAATGAGGAACTGGAGCAGCTTTATCAGGAACAAGAGGTGCCCAAGCCCAAATACTGGTGAGTGATGCCAGGTTGTCCTCCAGAAGTGGACATCAGGACCCCTGTGTGTGGAATTCTAGATCTGCCCCTCCCAGCTATGCTCATCTGATGCCAGAGAGCCTGGGGTGAGGGGTGAGAGTGGAGAGTGAACTTCTGCTTCTCCTCCTAGGGGCGGCTATGTCCTGTGCCCGCAGGTGATAGAGTTCTGGCAAGGCCAAACCAACCGGCTACATGACCGGATTGTCTTTCGTCGGGACCTCTCTATAGGAGACTCCCCTTTGGGGCCCATGACTCATCGCGGGGAGGAAGGCTGGCTCTATGAGAGACTTGCACCTTGACTGGAGGCTGGCTAGAGTGCAACAGGGATGAGGTGCTGAGAGGGTGTGGGACTGGGAGCCTGGCCCTTTTTTAAAATTCGGTCCATTTCCCTTCCCACCCTTTATATCTGTGGCTCTCCAGATCTCCTTCTCATAGTTCTCTGTACTCAGTTAGGCATCAGTTAGCTGCTGGAATGGATTGTACTGAGTCTAGAGAACCACACTTGCGGGAGAATCCTGTAATCATCCCCCCCCCCTTTTTTTTTTTTAACTTTGCCTGTGATTTTTTGGAATAGCTCCCCATAGGGGTGGTGGCTGGTGTGACTCCCTTTCTGGCCCACTCCCAGTCTGTTATATAAACCATATTGCTCTAAACTGATTGGTCCCAGTGCAGGCACCTGAGCCAATCTAGTCAATCAGATATTCTTGTTAATAATTTGAAGTTTGAAATGGAGAGACCCAGAGCCTTGGAAGTCATTGTAGCTAAGTCATTAATAGCAACCAAGAAACAGCCTCTGGCTGCTACTGTTGCAGTTCCTGCACTGCCCTGCACCCCTCCTTGTCTTGTCTCTGCTGTGTGGTTCTTCCTCCTGTCTCAGAACACCCTACTATCTATATAAATTCTCTTCCTCCTTCTCCTCCCTCTTCCTCTTCTTCTTTTCTCAGATTAAACTAGAATTAATTTACAAATAAAAGAACATGAACTAATTTATGAAAGATTATTTTTGTAACATTCACCCCCACTGATTGCTGCCTTCTATTATTTGAAGCATAGCAATATACATAGATTAAATTTATTCTTCATAGCTCCTAGGGACCCATAGGTAGAATTTATAGATAAGTAGGTTTCATCTCAATATGGAGAGAAATTGGAATGAGCCATCTATTGTGTGTGAGTGTTCTGTCACTAGATGTATTGGATCCTAGCCCATCAGAAATTTTGTAGAAGGTTTCATGTGCTGTTACTTATAAGCCAGAAATATTTTTATAAAACTTTACTGACCATGTTCATTTATGGAAATTTAGTGCACGCATGCATGCACACGTGTAGGTACACATATACTTATTTTCCAAATATAAAATTATTATAGAGATTTGCTGTTCGGACTATCCACGCACTCCCTTCCCCTACTCCTCACCTCTGCTGAAAATAATTCCTAGGTCACTGGTTTTCACCTACATTGGAATTACCCAGGGAAGTTTAAAACTCTAGATGCCCTAGATCCTATCCTCGGAGAGGATTTAACTGATCTCGGTGCAGCGGGGCATTGGTCAACTTAAATGCCCCTCAGGGAAATCTGTGCAGCCAAAATTGAGACCTTATAGTCTGAAATTCTTGACACTTGTCATATGGTCTGTGGACTAGCAGCATTAGCATCACTTGGGAGTCCATTAGAGGTGCAGGCCATCAGGCCCACCCCAGACCTAATGAATCCAGTTCTGCATTTTTACAATACTCCCAGTGACCATATGCACTGGCCTCAACCTCTTAAGCAAGGTCTCCCACTCACAAAGTTGGTGAGCCTTTCATAGCCCTTGTCTGTCTTCTGTGCTACACTGCATTTGCTTCTCTTGAGCACAGGCCTGCTGACTAGGGACATGGCCAAATGGCCTATTGGCCATGGAGAGGAACCAGGCTGGTAAATATTTGCTGTGACAGAGCCAAAATTATTTGCACTGGTTGACCTTGAACTTGCTACTCTGTAAACTGTACTTCCTTTAACTATATGGGTGTGGGCTTCAGTCTGTTATTGGCAGGGGTCCTCCAAGGGCAGCCCTCTCCTGTATTGATCCCTGCTTAAGCCTGAATGTAGGAAGGCACATTGACCCTGTGGTCACTTTACTGGGCAGCCTTACCTACTTGGTCCCTTTTGTTGTGCCATGGACTGCAACTTTTATGAGCACATGTTTGTGTGTGTGTGTGTGTGTGTGTGTATGTGAAAAGTACTACACCCCATCTGTGTTATTGGGGCTGTGTCACCTCTCAGCTTTGAGCCTGGTCTCAGCTGTTCCTTTTCAGTTCTCTGTGTATCAATTGCTATGCCAAGTGTGTAATAAAAGCCTGTCAACCAAGTGTGGTATTAATGTTTAACCTGGCTTGATTTCCCCCACCTCCCAAGAAAGGAGGAGCTGGGAATTTACCAGCTTCTCACCTTGCATGTTGGTCGTCCAGCAGGGGGAGCTCGACACCCAGAGTGGGCTCCTTTGGGGTAGTAGCGGGCAGTTCCAGCCAGCCTTGCCTGCTTCCCCCTTCCTCCACTTGGGTGGTGTCCCAGTGAAACTGTGGTCGATAACCCGTAGCCTCTCCGGCTCCTGCACATATTTGCACTCTCAATTCCTCCTCCTCCTCCTCCTCCTCCTCCTCCTCCTCCTCCTCCTCCTCTGCCTCCTCCTCCTCCTGTCTCCTGAAAACTTTCAGCTGCCTTTCTCAGACTCCTGGGTGGCCACATCTTACCCCAGCTAGCCCTGCAACTTCTTTGTATATGTGTGGAGTTTCCCTGGAAGATTCCTGTGAAGATCACTTCAGGGTTGTGAGCAAGGTCAGCATGCAAGGGACAGGGAGCTCCAGACCCTTTTACTTAAGAGGGGTGAAGGTGATATTGGAGTGGGTGGCAATGCAGTGCCAGTATTAGTCAGAACCATGACCCAGGGCCCATCCTCATCTCCCACCTCAGGGACCCCCAGTTGGGCTGTGACGGAGGTCCTACAATATGGGGTCTACGGTACAGCCAGCCTGGAGGCTGTTGGCTCTTTCCCATCCATTCCGGGGTCTGTCTGAAACCCTTAAGTGGCCCTCACCTCCCAGGATTCTAAGGCCAGACATTTCCCTCTCTCTTCCCCCACTCCCCTTCTGCAGAAGGTGACTAACAATGCTGCTTTCTTTGTTCTGAACCTCATTTTCTAGTGGAAGGCGCCATAGAGACAGTGGATATAGGCACAGACCAACTTGACTTTAATCCAGCTCTGCCTCTGAGCGCCTGAACCAGGGGCAAGTGATTTAACCCAAGCCTCAGTTAATTCATCTGGAAAATGGGGTTAATAGTACTCATTTCCTGCAATGAACTGATTAAATTAGGAGGCCTGTGGAATGCTTGTGTCCCTGCTGCCTGTTATAAGTGCTCTGTAAATGGTAGTTATTAACAGTAGGCAGGACTACACATTTAGGGAAGGTCTGAGCTCCTCCACAGGAGGCTGTATGGATTGAGAAATTGGTGAGAACATAGAAAATTTAGTGGGGAGGTGAAGGAGAGGAGTCCTTGAGGAAGGCAGCACCCTTGAACCCACCTTCTATTCCTCCAAATCCTGGTCTCCCTCACTCATCCTCTGAGTTCCCCCTGGCCTGGGTTAGGCACCTAACAAAGGCCCCCTTGTATAGGTCTGTTTGTTTTGGCAATAAATTTCTCCAGGCAGTTCCCTGGGGTGGGGTGGCCCAGCAGCCTGCAAGAAGCTATCTGGAAGCTGCAGGGCCACATAGTTCAGTGGCCACCGTGGACTCGCCCTGTTCCCACCATAAGTTCCAGAGATTTGTCCAATATTTTCCAGTTCCCAGGTCTTGTGCCTTTAAAAAGAGCCTGACCTAAACATTATAGGAAGACAGTTCTTGCTTCATTCTTAAACTGAAGCTGTGGGCATGATGTAATTTCTTTATTATTCTGTAATAAAGAAAAGAAGAGGGAAACCAACATTTAACTGAGCACCTAGTATGGGACCCCTTATGGGCCATTTCATACAGACCACTCCCTATGAATAGGTGCTACTACAGCCCCTTTCACAGAAGAGGGAACTGAGGCTCAGAGTAGTCTTTGAGAAAATGTTCCCAAGGTCACCCAACTACTAAGTAGGGAAGCCAGCATTTGAATCCTGATCCCAAACCACACAGAGACTTTAGGATCAGTCACTAAAGTTCTGGCCCACTTTTATGGCCTCTCTGTTGCCCAGAAGGAACTAACCACTGAAGTGTGTATAACTAGCTCCTTCCTGCCTCCCTCCATACTAAGCCTAGTTTGATGGTGGAATTATCAACCAAGGTCCTGTATTCTCACACACCTGAGGACACTTCCTGAAGCTCTAAGAAACAGTTTGAGCACATAAAAAACACACATCTCCATAAATGCAAGATAAGAGCATAAATAGGCTCTCTGCTTTTACAGAATTGTTTATCACAAAGAGAAACCTTCAATTACTTTTTAAACAAAATTCAAAGCTCCATGATTCATGTCTTAAATACTATCGGAGGAGGAGAGGAGAAAACTGGCTGCTTTTAGTTCCTACCAGAGCTTTCCCACCCACACCATCAGTTTGGCTCCTTGGCTGGTGAGGCTTCCCTTTGAGGGTCTCTGCACAAGTGGCAACACAGAAACCTGGGGAGTCACTGGTCGGGCCTTCTGCAGCCATCCCAGGGAGTGACTGGGTCCTCCACTACTCCACACCTGGGGGCAAAGTTCCAGGAAGTTTACCACTTGTGTTAAGAGGTGAGCTCAAGTTCAACATCTCCGCCTCTGGCACCAAGGAAACCATCCCCTCCCCCAATCACGTGGCTGTGGCTTCTGGAAAATGTGCTCTCCTAGGATTGGTCCAGGGAACAGTTACAAGTAGAGAAAGTAGAGGGAGCAGCAATTCAAACTCACCCTTGACCCTGTGTTCACAGGGGAGGTGGAGTCTGCCACACCTCCTCTCTACTCCCCTCCGCTCCCCTCCAAGGGGGGCTGGGCTTCCAGGGTGGGAGTTTTCCTCCTCATTCAAGAGTGCCATTGTATGTGGTCAGGGGAAGAGGAGGGGAGCCTGGGGTCTCCCAGGCCTTACACAAAGCTGGGGCACAGAAATACAAACTTAAAACCCAGACGTTTCCTGCCAGCAGGCATCAACTGCCCCTAAGGTTTCAGCTATGACCAGAGGCCAGTGTGGCAAGCTCCTGTCTCAGATCCTGCTGATGGCAAGGAGCAGGGAGATGCTAGCATCCTCCTCGGCCCCTCTCACTGTCCTTTGTTCTCCTGGTCATCAAAGAGGCTGGGGTTCTCCGCCAGCATGGCCCGGACTTTTTTCTTCTCCTTGAAGCGACCCGAATTGGAGACTTTGACGTGCTTGCCCTTTGTGTTCTTATCCACAATCTTCTCCAGACGAGTGTTAAAGTCGCTGTTGGGCCCTCCAGTGTCGGGCCTCGGAGTCTCTGTGCCTCCCTCCGTTTGGGCATAGGTGTCAGGGATCTCGTACAGCACCTTGGGACTGGATTTCTTTTTCCGGAGGAAGGTCAACTTCCACCAACCAACTTCGGTCATGACGCTCCCTGAGTCGAGGGGAGACTTTCTGCTGGAGCAGGGGAAGGGGACAAAGGTCAGTGGGCAAATCCTGTGTGCAGCTTGGATCAGCCCTCTCCAGCCTCTTTAGTAATCACATTATTTTTCTGGAGGCGGGGTCCTGGGAATTGAACTCAGGGGCACTCCACTACTAAGCCACATCCCCAGCCCTATTTTGTATTTTATTTAGAGACAGGGTCTCACTGAGTTGCTTAGTGCCTCACTTTTGCTGAGGCTGGCTTTGAACTCGCAATCCTCCTGCCTCAGCCTCCTAAGCTACTGGGATTACAGGTGTGAGGCACCGCACCTGGCAATCACCAGCTATTTGAAGAGTTGAAGGAAGAATTGAAGATAGGACCAAAGAAACCCAGGGTTCGAATAGCTGGTGTGATGTAATGCTTTGGGAAAGTGTTAAAGAAAGAAGAGTCTAGGATAAGAGCCACCAAAGCAAACAAGAGGGACTCCCTGGGCCAGACAGAAGGACAATGGAACAACTTCACCCCGTTGTCCCACAGAGACACTCTATAGGAAGCTTTGAGGTCATTCCTTCCAGGCCGTCAGGACTGCGGGCCCTGGAACAACTTGCCTGGTCACAGGGCATGCAGGATCTAGATACCAGAACCAAGCTCTTCCCAATCCACCATTGGGCCCTGCTGCCCAGATTGGGCAGACCATGACTGGTCACGCAGACAGAAACATCCTGTGCATTTTGCTTAGAATGCAGTGCTAAGAATCAAACCCAGTGCCTCACACATGGGAAACAAGTGCTCTACCACTGAGCCATGACCCCAGCCCCCACCACACACTTTCTGCCATGATGTTCAACTAGCCCCTATGACTAAAGCCACAGGGACTGAACCCCGTGAAACTATAAGCCAAATACATCTTTCCTGCTTTACAAAATAAAAGGACCATGGGAGAATGGGGCGCTTCCAGCTGGGAGTGGGAAGTCCTGGGCACTGTCTAGCTTTGTGACCTCTGGTAAATCACTTTTCTGGGCCTCAGCTTCCTTATCTGTCCTCACCAGCCCTAATATTTAGCTCTCCTGTTAATCCCGGCCCACAGAGGTAGACATGCTTTACAAAGTAAAAATTAGGATAAGGGTAGGCAATTACTAAGAGATGGTTTCCTTTCCCCACCACCCCGCCACAAGGACAGATCTTTGAGAGGTGTGAGGATAAAAAAAATGCAGGCTTCTCCACTCAAAAACGGTGTGCCCCGACATGGAGCTGCCAATCCAGAGACACATCTTTCGCTAAGTTCCACTAAGGTGCTGCATGAGCTAGCAGAAGTTCTGGGTACCATCGATGTCTGGGGGACAGGTAAGGCAGGAGTGGGGGACAGCAGACCAGAGGAATGAAGATAGAGGAGCAGAGTGAGGATAAATAAAGGCATCTCTGGGTCTGGGAGGGTTGTGATCTGGTTCTCAGGACACCTAGGAGTGGGCTGTGATGACAGCTCCCAGGAGGAGAGAACAGAAGCCAGGAGATACCAGAAATCTACATGGCCAGGTGGCCCGGGTTCAAGCAAATATATTACCTCCTTATAAAAGCTGACAGTCTTTACTATGGTGTGTGTGTGTGTGTGTGTGGTACTGAGGATCAAACCCAGGAGTGCTCTACCATACTTCCCTAGGCCTTTTTATTTTTTCTTTTGAGACAGGGTCTTTCTAAGTTGTTCAGGATGGCCTGGAACTTGTGAACCTCCTGCAAAGCTGGGATTATAAGTTTTAAATATAGATTTAACATGTTTTATAAAAAGATCACATAGAAATATGCCAAGGGCTGGGGTTGTGGCTCAGTGGTACAGTGCTTGCCTAGCATGCAGGAGGCACTGGGTTTAAACCACAGCACCACATAAAAATAAACAAATAAAAATAAAGATATTGTGTCCATCTACAACTAAAAAACAAAATTTTAAAAAAAGAAATATTACAAATGATTGTTAGTGGTTTTCTTTATATAAAAGGAATAGAGACTGCTTTCTCCCCTCTGGTTTTCTCATTTCCAGAATTTCCATGGAGTACAGATATTTTTAGAGGGAGAAACATATCAAATTCAGGAAAAATGAAAGCAGGACCTGGCCTGGGCATAAGCGGAATGCCCTTGTTGCTGCCACTCCTCCACAGCCATACTCCCTTCCCCTGGTACCTGCTGGTGGGAACTCCTTCCCACCTCTTTGTCCAAAAAGCACACCCCACTTTTCCCATTCTGCCCGTTCAGCTGGGCTCAAATAGCAAGAGACGCCAAGGAGAGACCTTGGGCAGCTCCTCTTAGGGCACAATACTTCCAGGGTGCCCTGGAGAGGTGAGTACACCAAGGGACAGGCCTGAGAGGTTTGCTTTGGCAGCTTGCCCCGCCTGGGCTTAGCACAGCCTTGCACAGAACTTGGTGTTCCAGAATGGGCCTCTGGAAGGAGCTGTGGGGAGGGGAGGGAAGGAGGAACAGGGTGCTCGCTTGCTCTGTGGGTGCCCCAGTCGCTGCTTTGTGGGTACACCATCACTCATGTGGAGCTGCCAGAGAATTGAGAATGCAGGGAAAGGGGATCCAGTGCCCGAAACTCCTCTAACACCGATTTCCTAAACCTATGCAAGGGGCCTCTGCCTGTGCCAGCTAAAATATACCTGTTTCAACAAATTTAAAAATACCTATTTAAATAGGTACCATATTTCAAGTTGGCATCCATAGAGCCTGACTCCTTGGAGTAAAGGATGCCACAATTCACAAAAAAACGAATCAAAAAGCCATAGAAACAGGGATGGCCTATATCCTGCCTTAGGGCCTGCACCAAGACACCAAGTCATTGGTGCCCTTGTCTCCTGGACTTGTATCCTAGTCTTCCTAGGATGTTCTTTGCCAGGCCCTCCTGTCCCTCCTATTCAGGAGGACATCTGAGCACAAGTAAACAGGTGTTTGTCCCTTTAGGCAAGCCTAACATATGGAAATCTGAATTTGCAAAACAGAAAAATAAGAGAATTATTTGCTTTATACAATAACCCAGTGAGCTTTAAGTAGTGGCCCTTAAAAGACAGTAAAATCTGATGGTTTTCAAAGGTGGTATGATAGCCAAACTTCCCAAATACTCAAAATCGCAAAGAGCAAGATATCTCCAGCCATATGTCCATGCCCGATCCCGCTGGCCTTCTGGGTTTGGGAGGGTTGTGATCCGGTTCTCAGCACACCGAGGAGTGGGCTGTGACAGCTCCCAGGTGGAGGGTACAGAACCCAGGTGACACCAGAAGGCCAGCAGGAATTTTCTGAGGCTGAGGGACAGGGTACAGGAACTCCCATAAATGCAGCATTTGGTAACACGAGCCCTGCAGTCTGCTTGTTCAGGGCCCTGAGCTGGCCATGCTGAGGGCTGGGCCCTTGCCCTGGGGCACTGCAATCCGTGGATGATGGAAATCAGCCCCTGAGGATGCCAATTCCACCTCTGCTATTTGCACAGCTTTGGGCCCACAAAACTCCTCATGGGTCAGTCTACCTTTGGTGGCCAGCACCCTGCACATGGGTGCCACAGGACAGTCCCCACCACCCTAGGTATGCTCAATGAACTACTCGGAAGGGCTTTGCATGGCCTCTTCTGAGTTGAGACAAGTTAACCATTGATTGGGGAAAGGGCATAAGGGGAGGGGGGGGTCAGTCAAATTTCTGCATTGAGAAAACCCAGAACCTTTCCCCCACCCTCAACAGGGTCCCTCATGGCCCTTGTCCACTCTGGATAATTAGAGTACCCTGGATAGGAAAAGTGAGGTGCTCCTACCAGACAACCAGACACTAGTCCTGGCTGGGGGAGGAACAGGAGCAGGCTTGGGTTTAGAGTTAATAGAGAACTAACTGCTTGGGAGCAAGACTTTCTCAGCAGGACCTCTGTTGGAGGCCTGGATTGACTCCAAGGGGCCAGTGGGATGAGATTGGAAGGAGACAGCCCCTGGGTTCCCCCTCCCTACTGGGCTTGTCAGCCATGGAGGCAGCACTGGGAGTCCCAAATAGGGACTGTGCCTTGATTTCCCCACCCACTGGCCCTCTGCTTGTACCTGTAATTCTGACTGCTCCGGACTGGAGGCGAGACCTTCCCTAGAGAAGGAGCTGAGTGGAGGAGCTGCCCTGGGAGGGTGAGGCTGGGGGAGGAGAGGATGCCTCCAGGGTGCCGCAGAGGCCAGGCTCAGCCAGGAGAGGTGGGTAGGAGCAGCTGCACGTCAGGTGCAAAAGAAACAGGTGCAGGAGCGGGTACCTGCTCCGCTGCAGCTCCCAGAGTCAAGGTGAACCTGAAACCCGGCCCCTCCCAGCTAAGTAAACAGAAGCAGAGGCTGGCTCAGGCTGATGAATATTCATCACCCCCAGAAACCCAATCCCAGAGACCCTGCATCTACCCAGAAGCCAGGGTCCTCCTGGGACCGCCAGCCTGGAGGAGGGAATCCCAAGGGAAGTCCAGGGTAAGGAAGCATGGGAGTCTCTCTCCTCAGTTTCCCCATTCTTGGGTATCTGATTGTACTGGCCAGCTGTGGCCAAGGTCACCCTCAACCATTTCATAGTCCAAAGAGACTCTGACCCCTCTTCAGCATGGACCACCACCTCTCCATCGCCCAGGGCACTACTGGGAAAGGGTTAAAGGCCGCTGCTCACTTTGAACTCCCCGAGTCGAAACCAGTCCCTGGTTAAACTGGTTGGCAGACCGGTTCTCAGGTTGTCTCTCCCCACCCAAAGCCAAAGCTCCTCCGTGGGCGCTGGGTTGGGGGCTGTGCTTCCCATATGACCTGAAGGGCCCCTTGTTAAGATCTCCCTAGGAGGGAAAAGAGGGCACAGGCCCCTGGGGCAAGATTCTCCAGGACACCATAACCTCAAACATCGTCACCCTCCTCCTCTTGGGTTTCAGTCCCTTGGAATCATATGCAAAATTCCAGGTGTGGGCAGAGAGGCACCGGCTTTTCTGCATTGGATTATACTTTTCTCAGACTCTCAAGGAGAACTGTGGTGGCCTCCCACCCCAAACTCGGGTACTTGGCTCAACTCCCTCTAGGCTTCCTGCAGTCTGTTGGAAAGGCTTTCCCAGGGATTGTAAAGTTGGCAAACCCGAGGGCAATCTTTCAGGAAAGGGGAGAGATGAGGTCCTGGCGAGG